CGTCCGTGGACAGGGCCACGAGCGGTACTTCCTGCTGGTCGTCGACGACTACACGCGTTACACCACGGTCTTCCCCTTGCGCACCAAGGGTGAGGTCCATAATATTTTGATCCCTTGGATTCGCGCTGCTCGTCTCCAGCTCCGCGAGCGGTTCGGGACGGAGTTTCCCGTCCTGCGTCTGCACTCTGACAGAGGTGGTGAGTTTTCCTCCGACCTCTTGGCAGCCTTCTATGAGGAACACGGCATCACCCAGTCGTTCACGCTTCCGGCCTCTCCGCAACATAATGGGGTTGCTGAGCGCCGCATTGGCTTAGTCATGGAGGGCGCTCGTACCTCCATGATCCATGCGGCTGCCCCCCATTTTCTGTGGCCGTTTGCGGTCCGGTACGCCGCGCTTCAGCTCAACCTCTGGCCCCGTGTCTCCTTGCCGGAGACCTCGCCCACACTGTTGTGGACGGGGAAGGTTGGCGATGCGTCACGTTTCCGGGTCTGGGGTGCTCATACCTTTGTCTACGATACCAATGCGGACAAGCTCTCCGCCCGCGCTGTTCCCTGTGTCTTCCTTGGCTTTGTCCCTAACGCGCCTGGTTGGCAGTTTTACCACCCCACCTCGCGCCGTGTCTTCTCCTCTCAGGACGTCACGTTCGACGAGTCGGTTCCCTTTTACCGTCTCTTCCCCTACCGCACTGCCCCTCTCCCCCCCCCCCGCCGCTCTTCCTCGCTCCAGGTGCTCCCCAGGTAGACCCCTTCCCCACTTCCGGTCCTGCTCCTTCAGGTGTGTCTTAGGTAGACCCTCCTCCCTTGACTGCACCGTTTGAGGTCACTGGTGACTCAGGTTCTGCTGAGGGTGGTCCTGCTCGGGGTGCTGCTTCTGGGGGTGCTGAGCTTGGGGGTGCTGAGCTTGGGGGTGCTGAGCCTGGGGGTGCGGAGCCTGGGGGTGCTGAACGTGGAGGTGCGGAGCCTGGGGGTGCGGAGTCTGGAGCTGCTGAGGGTGCTAGTGACAAAATTAGAAGAAAGAAAGAGGATTGAACTAGCAAGAATGAGGATACAAATAGCAAACCCTAGAAGGGTTGTACTCGCTATAGAGCACCCCACTACAGGCTAGAACAATAAGATAATATTCTGACAGCTAGAGCTGGAGGTTCTGGAGCTGCTGCGGGTACTCGCGCTGGAGGTTCTGGAGCTGCTGCGGGTGCTGGCGCTGGAGGTTCTGGAGCTGCTACGGGTGCTGGCGTTGGAGGTTCTGGAGCTGCTGCGGGTGCTGACGCTGAGGGTTCTGAGTCTGCTGTTGCACGGTCTCCCTAGAGTAGCCGCCTTTGTCCGCGTGTGCCTCTCACCTCACAGCAGCTGCACGATTGGTACGGTCGCCGTCAGGGTCGCGCTTCTGGAGTTCGAGGCTCTGCCGCTGGAGGTATTTCTGCTGTCGTCACTGGAGCTGGGAGTGGTGCTGGTCCCGGAGGTGCTCGTACTGGAGGTACTCGAGCTGCTGGGGCTGGAGGTGCTGCTGAGTCTAAGGGTTCTGCTGCTGGAGACCCTGGGTCTGGGGGTGCTGCTGCGGGATACACTGAGGCTGGAGACCCTGGGACTGGAGGTGCTGGTTCTGGGGGTGCTGCTGCTGGTGGAGCTGGTCCTAGAGGAGCTGGCGCTGAGGGTTCTAGAGTTGCTGGAGGTGCTAGAGCTGCTAGGGGTGCTGGAGGTGATGGTGTTGGTGGCAGTGCACAGCCGCCCCTGTTCTTCGCTCCACCGTCCCCGTCGTCTCAGCCACCGCCTGACTCGGTGCTTCGCCAGGTTCTTAGTCTCCCTTCGTCTACTGGTCTTCCGTTACAGCCTGGCTAACCGCTGCCTGCTCCTTCTCCTTACACTGAGCAGACAGGGGGTCTTACTGAGCGTCGTGAGCCTGCGTCTCGTCCTGTCTCGCCTATCCGTTCTCGTAGTTCCGGTCGTCATGTTCCTCGTTCGCGTCAGCCCGCTGTCCCCGGCACCCACCATATAGTTCGTCGTCCTTCCTCTCCTCCGCAGCGTGTTCCCCTGCCGTCCCCTCCTGCGTCTTCTTTGCCTACCGTTCCTGAGCTTGAGTCTGACCGCACCCGTGCTGCTCACTCTACTGTTACGCGTCTGCTAGCCACAGCTGTCACTGACCCGTCGTTTGAGTCTGCTGCTCCGTCTGCCTTTGCTGCTGAGCTTGTTGACTTTGCTGCTGCCTGTCGTCTAGACTACGCCGCTAGTCTTGTTGTTGAGTTTGACTCTGTCTGTCCTCCGTCCGTCGGGGGTGAGTGTGCTCTTGGCACGGACGTCCTTGAGGACAGGCAGGAGGACCTTGGGTGTCTTGCAGCCGCTGCGCCTCATCTCGTGTCCATGCTGCTTGCCCTTAAGGGAGACCCGGATGCTCCAGACATCCCGACCCCGCCCTCTTACGCTGAGGCGATCGCAGGTGAGTACTCCTCTCAGTGCCAGACAGCCATGGACGCAGAGATGGCATCCTGGAAGTCCACAGGCACTTGTGTTGACGAGGTTCCCCCTCCTAGGGCGAACATCGTCAGTGGCATGTGGATTTTCAGGGTGAAGCGGCCGCCAGGTTCTCCGCCTGTCTTCAAGGCTCGTTACGTTGCTCGAGGTTTCAGTCAGCGAGAGGGAGTAGACTTCTTTCAGACCTTCTCCCCCACCCCGAAGATGACCACTCTTCGGGTGCTGCTGCACGTTGCCGCTCAGCGTGACTACGAGCTTCACTCTCTTGACTTTAGCACAGCTTTCTTATAGGGCAGCCTGCATGAGGAGATCTGGCTGCGCCGCCCTCCTGGCTTCACTGGGTCGTTCCCTCCTGGTACCCAGTGGAGCCTCCGGCGGCCAGTCTACGGTCTCCGCAAGGCACCACGTGCGTGGCACGACACACTAAGGACTACACTTGCGGCTCTTGGGTTTGCTCTATCGACTGCTGACCCGTCACTTTTTCTGTGCACCGACACGTTGCTGCCGTCGTTCTACATCCTCGTGTACGTCGACGATTTGGTCTTTGCCACTGCTGACACTGAGGTTGTTGCCCTGGTGAAGTCGGAGCTGCAGAACAGACACACGTGCACAGACCTGGGTGAACTGCGCAGCTACCTTGGCTTGCTGATCACCCGGGACAGAGCACGCCGCACCATCACACTGACTCAGTCACACATGGTGCAGCAGGTCCTTCAGCGCTTCGGCTTCACCTGGTCCTTGCCACAGCACACTCCTCTGGCTACAGGCCACTCGCTCTCAGCTCCACCTTCGGACGAGTCCGTAGAGCCGAGTGGCCCGTATCCAGAGCTAGTGGGTTGCCTCATGTACCTGATGACCTGCACTCGACTCGACCTTGCGTACCCTCTTGGCCTTCTGGCTCGCTACGTGGCTCCTGGTGTGCACCGAAAGATGCACATGGATGCTGCGAAGAGGGTACTGCGCTACTTGTGCGGTACGTCGGGCATGGGGCTCGTGCTTGGAGGCCGGAGCCCAGTTGTCCTCACTGGGCACTCAGACACTTCTTGGGTTAACGACCAGGCTACGCAGCGGTCGTCACAGGGTTACACCTTCAGCCTTGGCTCTGGTTCAGTTTCTTGGCGTTCTACACGCTCGTCTTCTGTTCTTAGGTCCAGTTGTGAGGCTGAGATCTACGCCACAGCCATGGCTGCATAGGAGTTACGCTGGCTCACCTACCTGCTGACCGATTTGGGAGAGCGGCCTCGTTCTCCTCCAGTGTTGTACGTTGACAACAAGGCAGCCATTGCTTTGTGTGAGGAGCACAGACTGGAGCACAGAACGAAGCACATCGCTCTCCGTTACATTCTGGCTCGAGAGTTGCAGCAGCGTGGTCAGCTTCATCTTGCTCACGTGGCCACTCGGGCCAACACTGCTGATATATTCACCAAGGCACTTCCGTCTGGTGATCATCAGCGTTTCTGCACTTTGTTAGGCCTTGTGCCCACTTTTCCTCACTTGCTGTAGACTTTGTTTGTACTGTGATCTGTTTATATATATATATATATATATATATATATACCTGTTTCCTTGCTCTGCTAGGTAGAGATCACTGTGCTGTAGTTGTTACATATATATCTCTGCATCTGAACTGGCCTTGTGGCCTTTTTGTTTGTGCTCAGACTGCGTGGTGACGTTGTGATCTAACCTGAGCTTGCTTTGCACTTCCTGACTGGCCTTGTGACCCTCTGTTCTCCCCCATTTTTCCTATGGGGGTGTGTCAAACATATAGTTATATGTTATAGTTTGGGTAGGCTTTAGTGGGGTACTCACTATAGGGTACAACCCCTTAGGTCATACTTTTGTACCAAACTCTCGATAGTCCAATTTCATCCTTGCCTAAGATTCTAACAATTCCGTCCACAAGCCAACTACCACGTAATCACCCAGCTAGTATGACACGACCGCCGACTGAACCAATCATCACACCCGAGAAAATTCTGAGCCACAGAGTTCGTGACCCTCGAGGAGCCCGAAGGATCGAGTTCCTGATACGCTGGAAAGACTGTACACCCACCGGAGACAACTGGGTTCCCCTGGACAGAGTTGAAAACCACCCCGTCCTCACAGAGTATCTGCGCAGCCGAAACTTGAGGTATCTACACGCGCTTTCGTAAGGAGGACCTCCTTAAGTGGGGGGGGGGGGGGGGGGTAGTGAAAGGAAAATTCCTTTTCCTTACTTCGCGTCCCCGTTCAGCGCGTACACCACTGTAGTACCACAGTCAGCACCGTTACCACTCGCAACCCTCGCATCGACAATCCTCCCGCCACCTTCGCATGTCGCACCCCGACCTCACGGCTCGGCGGGTAACCTGCGCTCCGGACCTCCGCTTCGACATTTCCCCAAACCTCAGTCCCAGGCCCGTCGCGCGACAACCACAGTCCATTACCGTTACCACTGTAGCTTCGCTATATATTCTTCGCTCATGCCTTCGCTCATGGTACTCTTGCTTAGATAGTGCAATTCTCGCTCAATCACTCAATTGCACTCATAACAAATGTCAAGAAGTACCTACCTGGAGTGCTGGAATAATTCCTCTACGGAGTCAAACCAAATTTCACAGGTTCCCGCGCACTTCAGCTCCAATCTATCACCCACCACCCCACTTCTACTTCGGCTTTCGCGATACCTCGAAGTTCCCGCAACTGCAGCCTCCACGCAGAAGCTTCACACATTGATCGAATCAGCAACTCCCAAGTCGTACGAGCAGAGCAGTTTTCCTGAGGGTCTTGCTGAATCATGTAAGTAGCCGTGACTGACGGGCCGCACTTGCCATCACTCCAATTCTTGCTGTCCCCCTCTCCCTCCCACGCCTGCCAATTTTCTTCTCTGCGCATCTCCCTCTTGTGGTTTTTGTTTAAAGCCGTGTGTTCGCAACCTTCCGCTCACCAGCTCTTTCCCGCTTTCCCGCCTACGCATCCGCCACTTCCCACGTGCCTGGTGCCGGCAGGTCAGGAGGCAAAGTGTCGTTCAAGGTCACGCTGACGTCAGACCCGAAGCTTCCGTATAAAGTGTAAGTGTAAATTACTGCTTAGTGGGCTTCGATCCATCCTCGTACCTGCCCTCTGTTCCCCCTGGCGCCACCATGACATACGTCTTCAAATACCAATTGAAAAATTGGCTGTGACCAGACGCGCGTGCGGTGTGTGCTTCCGGCACCAGATGCGGCTGCTTGGTCTCGTCATCAGCTTCCCTCCCGCACTGCACCCAGCAGATAGCTGGATTCTGAAAGTGCGCACGACACAGTACCCTGCTCTTATCCTCCCGCCGGGCAGCACCGCGCGCCACGACCCTCGCGGGGCTTGCAACCGTGTATCGCTACCTCTTCTGCCGTTATCTCCCCGCCCCGTCCTTTCCTCCCCAACCACTCTCCCGAACTGCCGTTCGTAGATCGCAACAGGGCAGGCACACATGTGGCACTGCCTCGCATATGGGCTGTTCTCACATGTGCCAATCACATGTTTGGCGTGCTGCCTCTGAGTGTGTGTACTGCGTCGTACATGCTGCTCATTACCTGCCAGTTCAGAGGCTCAACCGCGTGGTCCTGCTATGGCCTGTCATATAGAGTATCCTATTCTTCTTTCCGCCATATCCTTGTGATGTTCTCCCAGTATCTTCGACCCCACCCTCTCATCATCCTTACCTCCTCAACCCGTCAGCTCACCCCCTCTCCCACACTTCCCCCCTTCCTCCTCCCTGTCCGTTCGCGTCCACGAGCAGCTTCAACGTGCCAGAGGAGGCGCCGTTCACAGCGGTGCTCAAGTTTGCTGCGGAGGAGTTCAAAGTGCCGCCACAGACCAGCGCCATCATCACCAACGGTCAGCTCTCTTTCTCTTTGCATGCCTCTTTATGCACACTACCCACCTGCATGCTCATGCTCGCAGTTGCTCCACGTTCCCAACTTGCTGACACAAAGCAGTCCGACCCATCAGTCATTGTTGCCTTCATGTTCACGTTGCTGTGATTGCATGTTAACATCTTTGGGGCTTGAGGTGGGGCTTTCCACTTTATCTCTTGGAAGGCGGTTTCTCCTCGTTTTTGTGGTGGTTTTTCAACAAGCTCCTCTTTGTTTCTCCTTAGCTTGATTTGTCCCATAACATTCTTCATCGTTCACGTCCTTGTGTGCTGGTGCTCTTTATGCTGATGGTTGCACATGCAGATGGAGTGGGAATCAACCCTCAACAGAGTGCTGGTGGGTCTTTATCTCCACCTTTCCCCCTCTCCCTCTTGCCTGATATCCATGAAATCATTATCCCTTGAAGCATCTTCTTGCCCCACTCCCACTTAAGTGATGGTGCAATCGCACACGTAAAAGCGTCTTCTTGTCCCACCCCAACTCCACGGCATAGATTATGTAGCCATCTCTTGTTTCACGTTTGCCACAACCTCCCTGTCGCAATCCCCACCCGTCGCCCTCATTTCATTTATGTCGTGTGCACCGTTTGCTGTTTGTTCTTTCTTGTCACCCAGGCAACGTGTTCTTGAAGCATGGGTCTGATCTTCGCCTTATTCCACGCGACCGCGTTGGTGGCCGCAGAACCTACTGCTGAGCATTGAACGTGGGACCTGGTGCGGTTGTAGTGTTTTGTAATTGCTAATGAAGAGTAACACATTGTATTGTCACATGCGAGCGTAGGAGGAGATTATTTCTTTATTCGGTATAGTACAAAGCTACCATTCTAATGTGTTGATGCACCTCTCTACACTGTTGAAACAGCCTGAACTCTGGAACATTGAAGTTTGTTGTATCATATTGCAGCTGAAGGGGCAACTATCCTATCTCCTGTAAAGGAGTAATGCACTGACATTCCTGTCTGGCCAGAACAGCAGGCTTGGAGCTTTGAAGATGTGCTGTATAAATCCATACACTAAGGTCCAGCCAGACCAGACATATATTTACACAGGCACATGTACAGAGCAATACCGTATTATCCAGCCATAAAGACTAGGCAAGGACTATACAAACTCCCAGCCAACTCTCCCCACACCACACCACATAAACGAAAAATGACCTCACATCCTCGTGATGTCGTCAGTGACCTCCCCCACCTTGCGCTCCCCCTGGTGCACAGCCCCCTTCCCCGTCTCCTCCGCCTTCCTCGCCCCCTCCTTCAAATCCTCCTGCGCACTGTGCAGATCATCCGAAGCGCGCTCGCCACGCTCCTCCGCCTCGCCCATCAGCCTCTCCGCACCCTCATTGATCCTGCTCTGTGCATCACCCACAGTCCCCTTCACGCTCTCCACAGCGCCCGACACCCTCTCCCCAGCCGCGTCCTTCGTTTTAGTCACGTTCTCAGTGATCTCCTCGCCCATGTGTCGGATGCGCTCAAAGCCCTCGTGCAGGCCTTCCTGCACGGTCTCAACCGCGCCCATAATGCCCTCCTTGGCGTGACCCATCAGCCCCTCCGCCTGCTCCTTCGCTTCCTCCCCTGTCTCCTGCCCCCTGCGCGCAGCATCACGCGCCTGGTCGCGCAGGTTCTCCCCGATTTCCCCTGCGCGGCCACGAACCTTCTCCCCAGCTTCCTTGGTCTGGTCCCAGCTTTCCTGCGTGTTCTGCTTCAGCCTGTCCGCGGCCTCGGAGGCCTTGGTGCGCGCATCATCCCCCGCGCGGGCAGCCTTCTCGCGCTGCTCCTCAAACCTCTCCCGCGCCTGCTCCGCGGACCTCTGTCCCGCGCTCAGGATGCTCTCCCCCGTGTCCTGCGCCCACTGCCCCGCCTCGCGCCCTTTCTCCTGCGCCTTCTCCCCCGTCCTCTGAGCCTGGGACTGGAAGCCTTCCCCAGCGTGCTCCGCCTGATCCCATGCCTGCTCGCCCATCCGCTGCGCCTCGCTGCGGAACTCTTCGCTCGCCTTTTCCCCGCGGTCCTGCGCGTGCTCGAGACGTCCTTTCAGATCCTGCGCCTGCCGCTCCGCGCGCTCCTTGCGGTCTTCAATCTGCAATACAGGAAAAGGGATTTGCCGGGAAGTGACGTACAATGTGAGACTCGGATGATGCTTTTTCATTGTGACATGTGTTGCTGCACACAACAAACGCGCCGGAACCGATTCAGTATCTTTCAATATTCTGCGACTTACGAACTCGTCTTGCGACTTGGCGGAGATCTTCAATGCGGGGAGGCGCCTCGCAGCGACTAGGCGCGACGGGCGCACACAAAGGCCGCCGCGGGAGCGTCCCGCCGCGGCGAGAGAAGGGAAGGCGGCAGCCACGGGCGCGACGGCCACGTAGACGGTCAGTGCGTGAGCCATTCTTGCTGAGAGGGATTACTGGATTGCGAGAAAAGAAAATGGCAAAAGAAGCAAAGGACCGAGTGAAGGCGATGAGAGAAGAGAGCAGCTTGTGACGAGCATATAATACCAAGGGCGGCCTCTAATTTCTATGAGGCAATGGAAGGCGCGCCACATTGCGCGCTTCGTGGCGTGAACCGAGGCAGCCATGCACCGTGGCTTGGCCTCTAGTCCGCCAGTCAGTCCGCGGAACTGCTGCGAGGGCTCCACGTGTTGGACGCGCAATTGCCTGCATGCTCGATTGTTCTGTTCGAGGGTGATAGTCGGTACATTTGAGGGAAATTGTACCACTGAAAGGAAATTCCCTTTCCCTACTTCTCGTCCCTCCTCAACGCGTACATCACTATAGCACCTCAGTCAGCACCGTTACCACTCGCGACCATCGCATCATTCATCATCCCGCCCTTTTCGCACATCGCATCCCGACCTCACGGCTCGGCTGGTAACCCGCGCTCCGGGCCTACGCTTCGACACTTTCCCAACCTCAGTCCCAGGCTCGTCGCGCGACCATTACCGTTACCACTATAGTTTCGCTATATAATGTTCGTGTGAGAATAAGCGAACAGGAATGAATGAACTAGCAGTGAAATGAGTACAAGTAGGAAACCCTAGAATTGTGTACCCCCTATAGGCTAACCCACTGTAGCCTACACAAGCATAACACATATAATGTTTCACACACCCCCATAGGCAAAGTGGGGGAGAACAAGGGGTCACAAGACCAGTCAAGCAAAGCAAAGCAAGCTCAGGGTGGATCACAAAGTCACCACACAGTCCGAGCACAAGAGCAGGGCCAGAGGCCAGTTCACATGCAGGAGTACAGACATATATATAAAACTAGACAAGCAAGAGCAGGTATATATATATGTCACAGTACAAGTGAAGTCAAGAGGAGAGCAAGTGAGGCAAGACAGGCACAAGACCCAGCTGGGTGCAAAAGCGCTGATGGTCACAAGGCGCGAGTGCCTTGGTGAACACATCAGCAGTGTTGGCCTCAGAGGCCACGTACGCAAGTCGCAACTGACCACGCTGCTGCAGCTCACGAGCAAGGAAGTAGCGGAGAGCAATGTGCTTCGTTCTGTGCTCCAAGCGCTGCTCTCGACACAAGGCCAGCATGGCCTTGTTGTCTACATACAGCACTGGAGGAGAACGAGGCGGCTCTCCAAGGTCAGTCAGCAGGTAGGTGAGCCAGCGAAGCTCCTGTGCAGCCATGGCCCCGGCGTAGATCTCAGCCTCACAACTGGAGCCGAGAACCGAAGACGAGCGAGTAGACCGCCACGAGACAGAGCCGGAACCAAGGCTGAAGGTGTAACCCTGTGACGACCGCTGCGTAGCCTGGTCGTCAGCCCAAGAAGCGTCCGCGTGGCCGGTAAGGACCACTGGACTCCGCCCTCCAAGCACTAGCCCCATGCCTGACGTACTGCACAGGTAGCGCAATACCCTCTTCGCTACAGCCATGTGCTCTGGTCTGTGTCTCCCAGGAGCAACATAGCGTGCAAGAATGCTCAGAGGGTATGCAAGGTCAGGTCGTGTGCAGGTCATCAGGTACATGAGGCAGCCAACAAGCTCTGCATACGGACCACTCGACTCTACGGACTCATCCGAAGGCAGAGCTGAGAGTGAGTGGCGAGTAGGCAGAGGAGTGGCCTGAGGCGAGGAGTACGTGAAGCCGAAGCGCTGAAGGACCTGCTGCACCATGTGTGACTCAGTCAAGGTAATGGTGCGGCGTGCTCTGTCCTGAGTGATCTGCAAGCCAAGGTAGCTGCGTAGTTCACCCAGGTCTGTGCACGTGTGTCTCTTCTGCAGCTCGGACTTCACGTAGGCGAGTCCAGCAGTGTCCGCTGTGGCAAAGACCAAGTCGTCGACGTACACGAGGATGTAGAACGGCGGCAGGGAAGTGTCGGTGCGAAGAAACAGCGACGGGTCAGCAGTAGAAGGAGCAAACCCAAGAGCCGCAAGCGTAGTCCTCAGTGTGTCGTGCCACTCACGCAGTGCCTGGCGGAGACCGTAGACTGGCCGTCGGAGGCTCCACTGGGTGCCAGGAGGGAAAGTCCCAGTGAAGCCAGGTGGACGGCGAAGCCAGATCTCCTCGTGCAGGCTACCCTGCAAGAACGCAGTGCTGAAGTCGAGAGAGTGAAGCTCGTAGTCGCGCTGAGCGGCTATGTGCAGCAGCACCCGAAGAGTAGTCATCTTCGGGGTGGGAGAGAAGGTCTGAAAGTAGTCAACTCCCTGCCGCTGACTGAAGCCACGAGCAACGTACCGTGCCTTGAAGACAGGTGGAGAGCCCGGCGGCCGCTTCACCCTGAAGATCCACATGCCACTGACGATGTTCGCCCCAGGAGGGGGAACCGCGTCAACGTAGGTGCCTGTGGACTTCCAGGAAGCCATCTCTGCATCCATAGCTGCCTGCCACTGAGAGGAGTAGGGACCCTCTACGGCCTCCGCGTAAGAACGCGGATTCGGGATGTCTAGTGCATCCGGGTCTCCCTCAGGGGCAAGCAGTACAGACGCGAGATGAGGTGAAGCAGCCGCTAGACACTGTAACTCCTCCTGCCTGTCCTCTAGGACGTCCGTGCCAAGAGCACACTCACCCCCGACGGACGGAGGACAGACAGGCGCAGACTCAGTAACAAGACTAGCAGCGTAGTCGAGACGACAGCGAGCAGCAAAGTCGACGAGCTCAGCGACTAGAGCAGACGCAGCAGTGGACTCAAAAGAGGGGTCAGTGACGACAGTAGCAAGCAGACGCGTGATAGTAGGACTGGCAGCACGAAGAGAGTCCGACTCAGGGTCGGCAAGCGCAGGAAGAGAGGACTCAGGAGGAGAAGGCAAAGGGGCACGCAGAGGAGCAGTGGACGGACGCAAAGACATCCGGTGCTTGCCAGGGACAGGAGGAGGACGCTGACGCGAAATGCGACCACTAGCGCGAGCAGCACAAACAGGCGACGCGGGACGAGACGCAGGCTCACGACGCTCAGCAAGACCTCCAGTAGGACCAGTGTAAGGAGAGGGAGCAGGCAGTGGAGAGGAAGGCTCCAGCAGGGACTACGACTGGACAGGCGGTGGACCCTCTACTGGAGGAGAAAGACCAAGAACCTGCTGCAGGAGCGGAACGAAGTACGGCCGAGGCCGCGCGGCAGCTCCAGACTCAGCAGGGACAGCACCAGCACCCTCAGCGACAGCACCAGCGCCACCCACACCTCCAGCGGCAGGACCAACAGCAGTAGGCTTAGCACCAACGCCCTCAGCAGCTCCAGCTCCAGGAGGA